TACACTTAATTAGCATATCCCAACTCCAAATTTAGATCATTGGGAAAGGCAGAAAGTGTTCAGAGACTTTCTCACATAGAAGTTACTGTGAACACAAATGCAGTGACATATTTAAAACTATTTAATAATACCTAGTATATAGTAAGTCTTGACAAATGTTATCAAAGTGGTGATGATGATGATTTTTCAAATTGTAGAATATCTAAACAAAAAATTGCAAGTAACTTTTTCTTCTTGCTACTAAAGTGAAACCAAGTGATGTGGTCTTTTTTTTAATTTTAAAACATTTTTTATTTAAGTTCAGTTTGCCAACATGTAACCCAGTGTTCATCCATTCAAGTGCCCTCCTCAGTGCCGTCACCCAATGACCCCATCCCCCTACCCTCCTCCCCTTCCACACCCTTTGTTCATTTCCCAGTTAGGAGTCTCTCATGGTTTGTCTCCCTCTCTAATTTTTCCCCACTCAGTTTCCCTTATAATCCTTATAAGGATTTCCTTTCCCTTATAATCCCTTTCACTATTTCTTATATGCCTGATATGATTATTTTAATAAGTAAATGGTATACTTATAATTTTCTGGTCATTTGAATGAGGATAATAATAATTAATAAAAAACCAGTTGCTATCACTTTACACCAATCAAAATACTACATTTCCTGCCTATATCTTATGGAGGTTGGGGGAAGTTGCCTTCTAGAGTAAAATCACCAGTGCTCACAGTGAATATCTTTTTCACTTCCTGTTAAATTGTCTGGAAGTGATTTTTTTCTATTAATAGATCATTCTGATGCTATTAGAAAGATGTGAAAAATTTGGAATTTATAATGGATGTGGTATAAAATAATACTGTAAATATTTAAAGGAATAATAATCTCTAATAATTTGGAGTAGTGAACCAGATAACTGCCCTCAATAAATGATTGACTGAAGTAATAAATTTTTTAAAGAAAAATTTTTTAAATTTAAAAATCTTCTCAAGATGCATAAACATATTGTAAATCCTTGAAAGCAAGCACTATTGCAGAGGTTTTATTTTCTATGGAATGACCTGGAGCATATAGCTTAGGAGAGATAAGGTCCCTCACAGGAGAGCAGAGAAACTGGTTTTCCAAACAGAAAAGTCAAATACAAAAGAAAAAGCAGCTTTTCCCCTGAAGGAAAGTGGGTTCCTGCATCTCGCCCTCTTCTCCTTCCCAGCAGGTGCAGACAGCTTAGCCTCCTGAGACATACCCTAATGCTCTGCTTTAGAAACGCAGACTAAAGAACTGGGGGAAATTTTTATTGGGTTTCAAATAAAATGTGAAATCAGTAACTAATGGTTCTCCGTGGCTTTAATGACAGAATGGTATTTAAATCCCGCGTCAGCTGAGTGCTTTAGAGTAATTTACAGAAGAAGGTAAGGCTCTGCTGGGCGATGGGCGCTGGGCGATGGGCGACTGGGTTTCCTCGCAGCTCATCCCGCGTTCGGGCTGCTCCGTTGGCTCCTTGGGATGAAGCCAGGCTGCAGGCGCTGCTGACCCAGAGAAGCGGAGGTGAGGCTTTCCCTTCGCAGCTGCTCTTCAGAGGGAGCCCCGCTGTCACCTCTTCTTTCCACCACATCAACAAACACAGGTAGTAGTCTTACATGGGGCACGGCTCTAGGGCCAATAGAAAGATTCTTGACTACTTTCCACAGATTTGTTTTTTCAGAGAAAAGACAGGAGTGTACTCAATATTCTGTTATAGATTTCCAATTTTTTTACAATGCAACTTTTTTTTTTGCCTGTATCTCCAATTCTATCCTACCAAAGTTTCTATTAAGGTAGAATTTTACATAGAATAAAATTAATAGGTCTTAAGTATGTAGGTGGGTAAGTTTTGACAAATATAGGCATCCATGAAACTACCTCCCAGACCAAGATATAGAATTTCCCAACATTCTAATAAGTGCCCCTTTCCAGTCAATAATTCCCTTGCAAGACCACTGATATCTATCACCACAGATTAGTTTTGCCTTTTGACTTTCATATAATGCAACTATATGTACTTTTTAATATGTACCTTCTTTTGCTTGACATAGTGTTTTTAATTTTTGGTCAGGGGGTTAGAGGGAGAGGAAGAGAGCAGACTCCATGCCCAGTGTGGAGCCCAACGTGGGCCTCGATCTCACAACCCCGCGATCCTGACCTGAGCCAAAAATCAAGAGTTGAGTGCTTAACCAACTGAGCCACCCAGGCAGCCCTGACATAGTATTTTTAAGCATCATCTCTGTGCATATAGAGAAAGTTTGTTCTTTTTTCATTGTCGAGTATGAATGTACTACAGTGTGTTTATTCATTCTCCTGTGGTTTTCTAGTTGGAAGTTATTATTGGTAAAGCTGCTGTGAACATTCTCACTTGAGTAGATATCTAGAATTGCTGAGTTAGTGTCAGGTGTATAGTTACTGCCTTAAGAAACTGGTGAGCCCCTGCCCAGAGGGGTTTACTGTCTGCACTGCCACTAGTACTGTGTGAGAGTTCCTGTGACCCTACATCCTCACGCGTGCTCAATATTGCACCTTGTTGATTTGATCCGCTGCTGGGTATGAAATGTCATCTCACTGTAATCTCAGTGGCTTTTAGAGAAATATCAGCTACCTTAGCACCCTCAAATGACCACCTAAATTCCCACAGGCAAAATAAGCTAGCTGTAATTTAAAATTAATATATCTTTAGCATAAGGTGACAAATGTGAGACAATAGATCATATTTTAGGTTCTGTGGCCACATTCCTAGGATATGTGCTGAATTTATCAGTTTGGGAGCATAATTTAAGAATGAGAACTAGATGTAGCTTGGCTTTTTAACAGATACGGTTACTTACCACTGGACCTTATGGTTCATTTCACTCTCTGGTAACTCGGTTCATGAGAAGGAAAGAAATGAGTAGGGATGGCCTATGTAGCAAATTCTTGAATAAATATTTTCTGTTTTTTTTTTATTTTAAGATTTTATTTATTTATTCATGAGAGACAGAGAGAGAGAGAGAGAGAGAGAGAGGCAGAGATACAGGCAGAGGGAGCAGCAGGCTCCTCGCAGGGAGCCTGAAGCGGGACTAGATCCCCGGTCTCCAGGATCACACCCTGGCGCTAAACCACTGAGCCACCCAGGGATCCCTCTTGAATAAATATTTTCTGAATTAAGCAAGGCTTTTGGAAAGATATTCTCTTTGATCTCATGAGAAAGCAGAATGAGATGAGCCCTACTCTATGCTAATGCCCAACCTGTGCAGCTCATTTAGTCTCACAAGAATCCTCTGAGAAAAAGCGAATCACAGGGCCCGTGGCCTTCATGAGGAAACTGAGGCTGGGGTGCTGGGGAGCCTGCTGGGGGCCCAAGGCCAGGGAGCTGCAGAATGGCTGTGCTGGCCCAGCCTGGACTCCCAGCCCTGTACGACATCCCTTCGACCACTTCCCTCCCCAAACGGAGAAGTGCTGCAGACGAGGTGCGAGGAGGACCCTGGGGTGTCTCTGGGGTGTAGGTCTGGAGAGGGAGGCCATGAACCACTGTCCAGACATGTGGAGTTGTATTCCCAAGGAGTGCAAAACTGGTCATCAGGGGGGAAATTCATGGTCTTCTCACAAACACTTTAGTAGCTGTTGTTGTTTGTTAAAATAGCCGTCTTTCTGAAACTTAAAATTAAATCTCAAGAAAAATATATGTTGGACACTGAGGACCATAATAATCCATAATGCAGAGCAGAGTGGGGAGGAAAAAGCAGTTTCTACCTTTCACCTTTTCTCCTTTTATTAAGCCAGATTTTTCTGTAAATAACACGTTTCTGTCAGTTTTGAGAAAGGTGTGAGAGACAAGAAGAATCTCTGCCTGGTGGGGGTGGGACAGGAGCATTAAGAAACACCACACCTTCCCTGGGCACCGCTCCCATCAGTCCTGTTCCTTGGAAGGACTTGAGCCTAGCCCAGAGCATCCCCTGTTTGGGGAATTGCTGGTCCTCTGCAGATTCTTCATAACCCGGAGGCACCCCATCCTGAAACAGTGATAACACACCTGCCTGTGGGCTCTGGGTCCTCCACCCGCCCCACCTCTGCTTGGAATAAACAGGAACCACTAGACTAGACTATCCTGTTCTCAGCTCTCTGGGAGATTTTAACCAAAGACTCTGGGACTAAAGGACATGCAGGGTGATGCTGGAAACCCACTTGGGGCTCCCTGTGAGCTTCCTTTCGTGAGCCACCTGCCAACTCATAAATTCCTGGTAATCAGTTGACCCGGGTCCCCAGTGAGATAGGGGCTGACTCCACCCCCACCCCACAGGGCTTTCCCCAGTCCTCTTGCTTGTCTTTCCTGGGTCCACCAAGGCAGGCACGAGCTCCATCGGGGACAATTAGGGACCCAGCCTTCTCAAGCCCCGGGGTTCCAGAGCTCCAGGGCATGGAGGCGCCGCCCATAGGCTAGCTCAGCCAATTGTTGAACAGGCAAGTGTCAGGGGCAGGGCTGGCAGGGCCAAATCCTAGGCTTAAATGGGCAGCCTCCCACCCACCACCAGGCCTCCTGCACACCCCCTGACCTGCATCTGTGACAGCCTAAACAACTGCTCTGAACAACAGGTGAGATTCCCAGACCAGGCCTGAAGTGAGAGAGGGCACCCCTGAAACCATGGAGGAAACCAGTCTTAAGGACCAGGGGTTTGGAGCTCCCAGGAGGCACTCTTCCAAAGCTTGGCCCCTCTAGACATGGCAGCTTGACCCCCACACACCAGGAGTCAGGGCCTGTCACTCCCTGCACTGCCATCTACATGCCCTGGAAGCCACAGACAGTCGTGGGGCAGGTCTCAGGGCAGCAGGCCCCCTGCACCTCCCACACCCTCAGCCTTCCTCCACAGCTCCATGGAAACACTTGGGAGGATAGATGCAATCTTTTTGCTCTATTATAGTGGTTCTAACATCAGAAGGAAGGATGGCTTTTTAGATGGTTTGATATAATCAGAAACTCATTTCTTTTCCATCCCTAGATTTTGGAACATGCATCCTTCTCTCTTCCTGGCTGCCCTCTGCCTGGGAATAGCCTCAGCTGCTCCACAACTGGATCAGAGCTTAGATGCACACTGGTCCCAGTGGAAGGAGGCACACGGGAAACTGTATGACAAGGTTGGTAACATCCGAGCTGTCCAGGGAGACCCCCAGAGAACAGTCTATGCTGCGGGGAGTTCGCAGCAGAGAGTAGCTTCCTGAGGCCACTCTTACGAAGGCAGTAAGCAGGGCCCTGGCTCTGTGCACGAGGTGGGTACATGTCCTGCTGTGTGGCTGCTGGAGCACAGCTTCCAGAAGCACCAGGCCAGTGCTGGCCATGGTTTCTTCTCCTCTCTGTCAGCACATCCACTTGGTGCAGCTGAATGCTTTTAAATAGAAATAAGGATGATGAAAAAAAAAAGAGAGAAATAAGGATGATGGGTTATATGTTTTTCTGCAGGATGAAGAAGGATGGAGGAGAACAGTGTGGGAGAGGAACATGGAAATGATTGAACAGCACAATCAGGAATACAGCCAAGGGGAACACAGCTTCACTCTGGCAATGAATGCCTTTGGTGACATGGTGAGTGTGGCATGGATTGCTGAACATTTTGTGCTTCCTCTAAGTATTCTTTCAAAAAATCTCATGTTTGTCAACATTCTGTTTCCTTTTCCTTGAAGACCAATGAAGAATTCAAACAGGTGCTGAATGACTTTAAAATCCAGAAGCACAAGAAAGGAAAAGCGTTCCAAGCACCTCTCTTCGCTGAGGTCCCCTCATCTGTGGACTGGAGAGAACGAGCACCTCTCTTTGCTGAGGTCCCCTCATCTGTGGACTGGAGAGAACAAGGCTACGTCACTCCTGTGAAGGATCAGGTGGGGCTGTATAGCAGGTCACTCTCCAAGAGTAAAGGAACTAGTGTCCTTGCTATGGAAGTTGAGGAATCATATGGAGTTTACTATGTCTTAAAAGAGTTTTCAGATCTAACAGCTATTGTCAAAATCTTGCTATTTATTTTGTGGACTAGGAGCTTTTTAATTTTGTTTACAGGGTCAGTGTCTTGGTTGTTGGGCTTTTAGTGCAACTGGTGCCCTTGAAGGACAGATGTTCCGAAAAACTGGCAAACTTGTGTCACTGAGTGAGCAGAACCTGGTGGACTGTTCTTGGCCTCAAGGCAATAGGGGCTGCCGTGGTGGCCTGATGGAATATGCCTTCCAGTATGTTAAGGACAATGGAGGCCTGGACTCAGAGGAATCCTATCCATATCTTGCAAGGGTAAATGGAGTTCCTTATCTTTTATCAAAGTCAAGCATATTCAGTAACAACAGAGACTGTATTTAGAATTTTCATTTTAGATTGTAGATTCTATATCTGCAAACATTCAGAGCTGTCATTAAAATTTACTAGCTTGGCACAACAGTTCTCTGCTTTGATGGTTACCATATAGCTCTTCCCAATTTTTTGTTGCACAGCCACACGAATACCATCTCATATACAGCACAGATCTCCAGAGTGAAAAATCTATGAACAATTAGACCCAAAGAGTGTCTCATTGAATAGATATCTGCTAATTTTTCAACTTCAAAACAATCAATCACATTTTGCGTCCTGAGATGTTTTATAACAAACTACTTGGAAATCTATCAGCCGCTAGTTGTCTTGAGCTCGTGTTTCCCCAGGAGGTGGATGGTAGTATTCAAGTCCTTCCCCTTATCTTTGAAAGAATGAACCCTGCAAATACAGGCCTGAGAAATCTGCTGCCAATGTGACTGCCTTCTGGCCCATCTTAAATGAGGAGGATGGCCTTATGACCACAGTGGCAACTGTGGGGCCTGTCTCAGCTGCTGTGGATTCAAGCCCACAATCCTTCCAGTTCTATAAAAAAGGTAAGCATTTGTCTACATAGAAAATCAGGCAGAAAAAATGAGGAGCCAGCATGACATATAGCAAGATTGATTCTTTGTTACCATTGTTGGTACCATTGTTACCATCAATGAATCCAGGAAGGTATGTATTCTATACCTATGATCCTTGGGGCCGTTGTTACCATTGACATGACTTGATCCATACTTCATGCCTTTAAGCACATTGCAAATATATTTAAATATTTACATAATTTGACTGATATAACTTACTTTACTTTTTTCCAATGGTTAGACCTTGAAAATTTCCAACGAATTTTACTACTGAAATTGACCCTAGAAAGAACCCCTTGGCTCAAGTAATTTTGTGTTTGCTGCCACTTCCTTAGACTAACATTGTATGGTAAAATGACAAAGGTTCAACAACTAGTCTTTTATGCTTCTTCTCTGTTCTTTACAAAAGAGATTGTGACAATGTGTATTTCTGCGAATATTAGATGATATCCTAAAACTCTAGCCTAGCTAAACAAAAAGATCTGATATCTAAGTCTTACCTGGGTTTATATCATGACTGAATTTTGAGATGCCTCCTATTACTGTGGTTGCTAGGTTACTGTCACATGTTATCATGTCACTTGGATGTTCCCCCTAAGCATTGAATTTTACTTTTCCAGGCATTTATTATGATCCAAAGTGCAGCAATAAACTCCTGAATCACGGCGTTCTGGTAGTTGGTTATGGTTTTGAAGGAGCAGAATCGGATAACAAAAAATATTGGATTGTCAAGAACAGGTATAAAGAGCAAAAAATATTTATCTTTGAAATTGAAAAAGGGAATCCTTTTTAGAATTAGTGTTTGGAGGCAGATCCTCAAACCCTTGAATACACTTCTGAGATCTCAGAAGTGTTTACCCTATTTAAGGGGAGCAGAGACATACATACACATTTAATGAGAACAGTAAGATACTGTCTCAAGCTTGCTGGGACCCTGCTATACTTTTGCTACCATTGCATTTCTCAACTTGAAAATTTTCTTATTTCTGGAAAATTATCCAACCCCAAGAGTTTCCTCTTCCTAGCTCTCATTTTGCACTTTTTTGAAAGGCTTGGGGATAGAATTTTGTGCTGGGTTAGAACTCAACCATGAACAGGAATGGCCTCTCCTGACTCTTCCTGAATCTGTCCTGGCCTCTGCTGCACTGCTAAGTATCAGATATGATTGTTCATAAAGATAAATGTGTGTGTTCCTCTGTAATAAATGGAAAACCCTGTCTTCTTTCAGCTGGGGCACAAACTGGGGCATACAGGGCTACATGCTGTTGGCCAAGGATCGGGACAACCACTGTGGAATCGCCACCAGGGCTAGCTATCCTGTGGTGTGAGATGATGGCATGAAGAAGACCTTGACTGGGGACAGAATATCCAGGAAATGACTTTTATTTTAAAGCTGACCAAATCTTATTGTGTGGGATAAAAAACTTGAATCATTGAAGATCCAAGTGATCTGATTGTGTGACATTTTACACAGGGAATGTTACCACTGTGCTCATTACTGCTGTAAATACCTTTGTAGGACTGACTTGTCTAGTAACTTTTGAATTTTATTTTTTTTAAAAGAAGTAAAAAGTTTTCTTTTTAAAAATAAACCAACCTCAAAGTATAAGTGAGATAAATGTTGATATGTTAACTTTTTATAGAGTCAAAATGTGATTGGGCTCTAGAGACATAACTGAATGTGCCAATGGTTCACTAGGTGAATCCTGGGTGGCCTGTGGCTCTTGCAGTTGTGAATATGCACATCTCATGTCAGCTGGGGTTTGGCCATGTCTGATCCAACCTTTGAATGCAGCAAAATGTGACCAAAAATCTATAAGGACAAAGGTACACTATTTTAATAAGGAAAAAAACCTTCACATTTTAGAAAAGTAAACATACACATAGGGTTTTCAAAGTAGGTAAGTGTGTTGGAGGTCATGGTCATTTGACCTCAGATGGCTACAGCCCAGCTGAGTTACAGGATGGATGTCACAGAGCCAGTTTCGAGTGTATCTTCCCCACCTGCTAGTGAGGACCACGTGACTACTTTGCAGGTGAGGAAGGACCAGACATGGAATGTGTGTGTGTGTTGGGTCCATCATGGATGAGGGTAAACCCCCAGACATGGGCCCAGGCCTCAGAACTAGAGCTGGGACCTCAGAGGTGGGAGGCAGGTGAGCGCAGCCAAAGGGATCCTCTGAGGCCTAATTCACAACCTGCTACCTAACCTCAGAATTTATTAGAAGAAGACAGACCGTCAACATCCACAGGCTAAAGAAGCACATGGTTCCATTTGCTCTCTGAGTGTTTAAGCATCTCATGGTTCCACCCAAGAAGCATAAGGAGAAGGCAGCAGTATGTAGTTAATAGCAGAGGAGCAGGAGAGCAGGTGTCAGCCCACAAGCCCCCTGCACCTCCGGCCATGTCACCCTGTCCTGGGTCACGTGTCCCTTCAACGTGACCTCCGCTCCTAGGTGCTTACATCTCCAACTGTTTGACCTAATGTGGCAAATAATGGTGTTTGGAGTAAAGTTCTGTGGGTTTCCAGACCATACTACCAGGTCATAGGAGATGGGGGTGGGGGGGGAAGGCTCCTGAGCATGATCCCTTCCGCCAGCTGGAAACTGTATTGGAACAACAGGAGTTGATGTGACACCCACTGTGGTCCAGCCATGACCCCTGGAAGACACATCCCCAACCCCCAGAAGGAGCTGGTGCTGGGTAGGGAGGAGGGTGCTGAGAACAGCTGGAGGAAGAGAAGTCTGATATGAATCCAGAGGAGCTGCTCGGGGAGACAGGAGAAAAGAGGAGTGTCTGAGCAGAGACTCAGGGTTGGAACCCCAGAGAAAAGGGAAAGTGAGTCTAGAGAAGGTGGGAAGTGAGTGAGGTCACGTGGGAGCAAGGAGGCTGGTGCCTGCATGGGATTTTAGGACACAGTCGTGCCCCTGGGGAAGCAGTGGACAGACTGTTCTGGTTATCTCTCACTGTAAAACCCACTCCTGGAGTCCTAGCAGCTTGACAAAAGCATCTCTCCCATTTCCTGCCTGGGCTCGGCGGGGGGAGGGGGGGGTGGGGGGGATGGCTCTCCCTGGGAGTCCCTCCTGGGAGCTGGTATCATCTGCAGGTTCCACTGGGCTGCCGTGCTCCTGGGTTCCCTGGCAGGGCCTTCCTAGATGCTGGTGTGTAGCTGAGACTCCAGCTGGTGATGGGGAGAGGCAAGGTCACTGAGCAGAGGAGCATGTGTGATGGAAGACATGGCTGTGGCCATCTTTGGAACATGGATCTGCCACAGTCTCTGAACATCCACCAGAGAGGACTCCTTGTCCCTCCCCATGACAGGCTCACTCAGACTTCTGTGCACAGTATCTTGGGAGTTCAGCCCAAGACTCTGATCCCACAAGGTAGCTTAGTAGGGCCTATCTCAGTAGGGCTGGGGAAATCGGACTGGGGGACCAGGAACAGCACTGAGGGGTTGGGGTTCAGGGCCTGGCATCTCCCTGGGGACCTGCACCTACTAGATACCCCAAATTCATGGAATCTCCTGAGAAGAAGCTTGAAGGGGAGGTCCACATGGGTTTTTAGTGTCACCTCACGTGTCCTTTATTCCTAGAGTTTGGGGTGAACATCTCCTGGAGGATGGAGGACAAGATAATCTAGTCTAGTGGTTCCTGTTGTTTCTAGGCAAAGGTGGGGCAGATGGAGGACACAGAGTCCACAGGCAGATGTGTCATCACGGTTTCAGGATGGGGTGCCTCTGGGTTATGGAAGAATCTGGAGAGGACTGGCAAACTCCAAAATCAGGGACTTGATGGGCAAGACCTAAATCCCTGGAAAGAAAGTGGTCACACGGAATGGGTGTCCAAGGAAGGCAGGGCCTTTTGTAATGCTCCTCTCCCGTCTCCCCGCCATCACAGATTCTTCCCTCTTGTGCTTTTCTCAAAGCCAACAGAAACAAGTTCCTTACAGAAAATCCTGGCTTAATAAAAGAAGGAAAGGCACAATGTAGAAAGTGCTTTTTCCTCCCCACTCCGCATTATGTTCCTAAGTATCCAAAGTACTTTTTTTAAAGATTTAATTTAAGAAATTTGCTTTAATGACTTTGACATCAATGATTTTTACTTTACAATTAATGTCAGGATTTAATGACAGTGTATGAAAATGTTTTAAATGAAGAGAAACTCTATATACATTAAAAATTAATTTATATAATTGAGAATTTAAGGAACAAAATAAAAATATACATTTGTTCTTTTCTATTACTTAGAAGACATATTGTAGAAAATACCCTTAAAGGGCACCTGGGTAGCTCAATTGGTTAAGCGACTGACTCTCGATTTTTGCTCAGGTCATGATCTCTAGCTTGTGAGATGGAGGCCCTCCTGAGGCTCCCTCACTGGGCGTGGAACCTGCTTGGGATTCTCTCCCTTTCCCTCTCCCTCTGCTCTTCTCCTGAAAATAAAAAAAGAGAAGGAAGGAAGGAAGGAAGGAAGGAAGGAAGGAAGGAAGGAGAAAGAAGAAAGAAAGAAAGAAAGAAAGAAAGAAAGAAAGAAAGAAAGAAAGAAGAAAGAAAGAAAGAAAGAAAGAAAGAAAGAAAGAAAGAAGAGAAAAATACCCCTAAGAAAATACCCCTAAGAAACAGAATCATCATGACCTCATGTCCCTTCCCATATCATATTTTACTCTATGCATATTTTGAATTCTCCTGATAAAATGGAACCATAGTTTATGTAGATTTTTAAAACTTGTACTTAAAATTAAATTAATAAACCTAGAAGCATAATGAAATATATATATTTTTTACTGGGATAATATATTCATAACATTAAAATAGCCATTTCAATCATTTTCAAGTGTACAGTCAGTGGCATCACATACACGTTGCCGGGCAACCATCCCTACTGTCCATCTTTAGAACTTTTTTGTATTCCCAAACCGAAACCATGCCAACCAAACAGTAACTCCCCATTCGCCAGCTCTGGTGTCTACCCCATTCCATTTTCCATCTCTCTGAATTTGTAGGTATCTCACACATAAGTGGAATCATGTAATATTTGTCCTTTTGTGCCTGGATATTTCACTTTACACAGTATCCTCAGGGTTCATCCATGTCCTAGCATGTGTCAGAATTTCTTTGATTTTAGAGACGAGTAAATATCCCAGTCTAGGATTGTGCCCTGTGTAGTTTCTTCACTCATCGCTGGAGGGACACAGTGGTTATTTCCACATCAGACTATTTTAAATAACATGTTGTCAATGTTATTGCACGAACATTTGAGTTCCTGTTTTGAATTCTTTGGGGATATAAACCCAGAAGTAGGTTTCCTGGATATGATAACTCTATGTCTAAATTTTTGCTGTTTTCCACATTGGCTACACGATTTTACTCTTCTACCAGCATTGTGCAGGACTCCAATCTGCTATGATTTTCTTTTTTTTTTTTCTGCTATGATTTTCAAAGGTATTCTCAAATTCTGCAAATTCCCTTTTCATCAAATTGGTGGTATCTTTTGATGCATATACATTTTTAATTTTGATGAAGTCCAGTTTCTTTATTTTTTCTTTGATTGACTGTGTTTGAGTGATATCCAAAATTAATATTAAATCCAATATCATGAGGCTCATCTTTCATGTTTTAATCTTAAGTTTTATAGTTTTCCTTCTTACATTTGGGTCATCGGTCCATTTTGTGTCAATTTCTGCAGATGGTGTAAAGTCGGGGCCCAGCTTTACTGTTTTGTATGTGGATATTCAATATCCTCAGCATTATTTGTTGAAAAGACCATTCTTTCCCTATTGAAAGGTCCTGGCAACCTCATATGACTGTTTAAAAGTCAATTCATTACAAATTTCATTTTAAGGTCTTTGAGGAAACAGAAGCTCTTCTTCCTCAAACACACTTGAGGCTGATGGTCTTACAAGGTTACAAAAGAATGGCTGGAAGTCTCCAAATAGAAAAGGGACCACTTTTTGCAAGAGGTGCAGAAAGCCTTTAGGGAAAAACAAAAACCTCAAACAGCAACAGCTTACAGTGAGCCTGGCCACCTGGCAGGGGTGGTGCAACACCACCCAGGCACAGACACCAGACATCAAGAGAGCAGCACCCCCACCCCCAGAAGACGAGCTGGAAGTACTGTACATATTTTGCTTAGGTCATGGTTGGTATTTTTGACTCTGCTCATTCATATTACATTGGACAAAATGACTCAAAGGAGGAATTCTCCACAAAAGTAGGAACTGGAGGTAATGCTCTGCCACAGATCAAATGGATATGGATTAAAGTAAAAGGTCAGAGATGGAGTTCAGGATGACAATGATAAGTGACTAGTTGGGCTTGAAAAAAGCATCA